ATAAACCCAATATAACTAGTCGAGTAAGCAGGCCAGCAGAACCAACTATGAAAAGGGACAGTTGGACAAGCGACCGGACAATACCGACGAAAAAAATCAACCCAATCACGTGTTATAAATGCGGCCAAGTGGGACATATAGCTATAAAGTGCAAACTAGGACACGGTCCAGAAACGAAGACGACAGGAGAAGCTAAACCACATGGAGGCGTATCATCGTCCCAGGAAAGCAAGATATATCAACCCTATGTGAGAAAAGGGAAGATCGTGAGCGAAGAGGGAAACAGCACGCCTGTGACCATTTTGAGGGACACGGAGCTGCCCAGTCCTTAATTCTGGAAAAGAAAGTACCCTACAGTCGAGCGATAGGATCCGCGTTAATTAAAGGCATAGGGGGAAAGGCGATGAAAGTACCCTGAAGAAAATAAAGTTGATAACAGGAAAAGTAAAAAAAAGAAGATGGTAGTCGGAGTAGTAAAGACACTCCCCATGAGAGAAATAGACATCCTTTTGGGAAACGAAGCAAAAATCGAGTTAAATCAGATTGATGAAGGAAACCGTGAAGAAGAAGCGAGCAAAGCGGTGCACAGTTACAACCTGAGGAGTAAGAAGAAGACCCCTTTTGAACTGGTATATGGGCGAGAAATGAGAAACCCACTCAAGATGGCGAAAGAGAAATGGGATAACTCAGAAAACAACCGAGAGAATATCCGGTTATGTTGAGAATTTGCGAAAAGGCCTGGAAAGGACTAGAAAGTTAGCAAGCGAACATTTGAATAAATCCCAGAAGACAATGAAACAAAATTTCGATAAGCGGGCTAAGGAGAGACAATTCAATATAGGGGACAGGGTTATGGTTCTTTCGCCGAAAACGAAATCTCCGTTTGACGCAAAGTTCAGAGGCCCCTATGTTATCATGGAAAAGATTGACAACCTTAATTATAAAGTGAAAACGCCAAACCGGCGGAATGAGAGACAGTTATGCCACATAAATAGGATAAAGAAATATGCGGAGCGTACTGGTAAAGATGGACTGCCTGTGGGGCAAGTAAAAGCGATGTAAACGAGGATAAATTGATTGGCGATAGCATATTGGTCAAAGACACTCCAGTAAAATTGTGTAACTCGAAATATTGGCAAACTTGAAAAAAGAAATTAGGCCACATATCGGAGGAAGAACAAGGAGGATTATCCAGTATTATACGGCAATTTCAGGAATATTTTCAGATATCCCCAGGAAGACGGATGTGATTTATCACGATGTAGAATTAACTACAGAGAAACCTATAAAACAACACCCGTATAGGGTAAACCCCAGGAAAAGGGAAATCATAAATAGAGAAATCGATTATATGCTGAAAAACGGTATAATCGAACCCAGTCAGAGTCCCTGGGCATCTCCTTGTGTACTAGTGGATAAACCAGACGGATCTGTCAGATTTTGCACGGACTATAGGAAGTTAAACGACATCACCAAAGATGATTCCTATCCGATCCCGCGAATGGAGGATTGTATCGACCAAATCGGGAAGGCAAAATACATAACAAAATGCGATCTATTGAAGGGATATTGGTCCGTACCCCTGATGGACCAAGCAAAACTCAAATCAGCATTTGTAGTGGCGAACGGGACGTTTCAATATAACGTCATGCCATTCGGCATGAAGAACTCGCAAGCAACTTTTATGCGACTGATGAACCAGTGTTTAGCAGGCATCCAAAATGTGGGCATTTACATAGATGATATTATCATATATGACGACACATGGGAGAAACACCTCGAAAGTATAGAACAAATATTCAATCGATTGGAGAAAGCCAATTTAACAATCAACTTGGAAAAGAGTGACTTTGGAAAGGCGAGGGTACAGTACTTGGGACACATCGTCAGCTATGGGCGTATAAGTCCGAGCGAGATCAAAGTAAAGAGTATCAAGGAATACCCAAAACATAAAGGGGGTCAGAAGATTCTTGGGTATGGCAGGTTACTATAGAAGATTCTGCCGAAATTTCTCTAGCACAGCAACCCCGTTGACAAACCTCTTGAAAAAGGGAGCTAGGTTTCAGTGGACACCGGAGTGTCAAAGATCGTTTGAATCTATAAAACGAATGTTGAGTAGTGAGCCTGTGCTAATAGCGCGGATTTCGAGAAACCATTCAGCCTGCATACAGACGCCAGCGAAAATGGAATCGGAGCGGTGTTATCTCAAAACGACCAGAATGGACAGTTGAGACCAGTCAGCTACTTTTCTAAAAAGCTGAACAAGCATCAAAAAGCCTATTCAACAATTGAAAAGGAAACCCTAGCACTGGTGTTAGCAATGGCAAACTTTGAAATATATGTAACTGCAGGGAAAGCTCCCACTCAAGTATACACCGACCATAACCCGATAGTTTTTCCTAAACAGGATGAGGAACAAAAACAGACGGTTGCAAAACTGGTACCTCATCCTACAAGAGTATAACCTAAAGATCAATTATATAAAGGGAAAGGAGAATTATGTGGCGGATACCTTATCCAGATGCCAGGAGATGGAAAATGAGAAATCAAAAACCCCTCAGTGCGTTCAGTCAGAAGCAGACACCTAGGAAAGTGAGGATTCAGGCACAATCCAGGGGCTGGATTTATAAAGAAAAATGAAGCATCTTTCTTTTTTGTTATGGGTGAGAGTGTGACGATTTTAGGTCGTCAGTAAAAGAAATTGAAATTATAGCCGACCATAGGAGAGACAATGATGATGATGAAGGTGCCCAGAAACAGCGGCACGGGCAAGCTAAAAATAGAACGGAGGGAAATTTCGGCACCGAAATTGGATAGTTCACCAAAGGTGACAACCCAAGTTCCAAGACCTAGAGACAAAGGGAATTTTCGCGCCAGTAAGCGGCCAAAGGTCATAAGTGGAGAAAGAAATTCAGTTGCTGTCGGGATCTGCCGGAGTGAAGATCGCCCACACATAAACCCTGGTACTTGGAAGAAGATAGGTGCAACTCCGTTATATTCTTCTAACGTAAATTGAAGAAAGCGCAACAGAAAAAAAAAAAAAGAACAATCCTTGCAGAACATCAACAGAAAGGAAATTGATGTTAATAATACGGCAAAGCTTGGATCTCAATTGAAGAAAAAAAAAAAGGGAAGACGGGGGAAAAGAAGTTATACCCCTTGCATTGCGGGCAAAAGAGTTTGTAATATTAAAAAAAAAAAAAAAAAGAGAAAAGAAAAGGGGCGATAGAGTGCCAACAAGCCGAAAAGTGACTAATTGACATTTCCTTGTCCCTTATACTAGGAATACGAACGCATCCTAACTGAGATACACAAAAGCTTGATATTCCATAAATGTTTGTTGCCTCTTCTTTTTCTTCGTTATTGTTGAAATAAAAAAAAAAAAATAAAATAATAAAAAAAAAAAAAATTAAAGAGAAAAGAATTGTTTTTTTTTTTTTTTTTTAATATAGAACCGATTCTTTCACATACCTAAGCCCATAATCGCCTATTTCGAGTGGATGGACAGCAGGGTAGCCTCATACCCCGCCCTGGAAGACCTATCTGCAGTGAGGAGACAGTGCGAAATAAGCGATTGGCGCGTCGCTCCAGGTAATTTCTCCTCTTACCGGCTGGGACGTATTTCTCAAAATGCATCACGTTGAGAAATAAAAATAAAGCCCAGAAGGAGAACGTCACAATAGTGAATTCCTTAGTGAATCTGGGATTTTGTATTTCTATGTGTTGCTATATAGGCTACTAATGTCAAAAGTTGCCATAAGTGTTCCTGGATCTACTTTTTGTGGTATGGAGCTAAGGAAGTGGATATTGTCTATGATGTAGCTTTTAATCTGTTTAGTAAATTATTGTAGTATGGTGTCTATTAAGTTACTGAATCTGTTTGTTGGACAGGCTGCTCTTGCTACTATGGGTCTGAATGTAAGGTCACTGGGATTTGGGATGTTAATACATTCAGATTTTTCTCTCTGTATAACTGCTTTTATTTTTCACTCTATTTGTGAATTTTTGGTAGTCTGTAGAAACTACTTGTTTTTGGGATGAAGTTTATTAAATCTTTTTTTTGTTACTATCTTATGTGTTGTGCAAAGGTTTGTAATTTTTGAGATATTTTTGTCTATGTTGGTGTTAATTAATTTATTATCCCCTCGTGCCTCTAGAATTTTTGTTTTATACTATCTTTTGTCCATGATCACTATAGTTCTGCCTTCTTTTATAATTATGTTATTTCTCCAGATGCTCTCTAAGGCTAGTCTTTGTGTGTGTATATAAGATTATTCAGTGATTTGGATGTTTCATTAAAGTCAACAGACAAGGTACTGTGATCAAACTTTTTATTTCATTTTTCTTGTTTGAACAAGCATTTTCTTATCTGGACACAGTGTGTGTAGAAACTGTCCAAATATCAATATTACCTCCAAACACAGACACAATGTGCTGTGTTCAGAAAATAAAGTATACACACAACCCATACACCCAGTTAAAAAACAAAAATAAATTCATCTTTGATAAAGGCTAAAAAGTATAGCCGAAAGCACTCGGCTATATTTTTTTTATTTACCTTTTCATTATGCCAAAACCACGGCCAACTGACGAATCAGTGTTCTTGGCTTTGTCTTCAGTCACACAGTCAAATGTCATCCTCCAGTCCAACCAATCAGCATGCAGATTGCTATTGGTCGAACCATACTAAGCTGTATAAAAGCCAATGTTTCAGAAGCATACACTTCTGGAATAACTAAGAAGGTTGGGAGATTCATGCCATTTTCAAAGGAAAAAAAATGTTGCTACATATTGTGTATTGAGGTAAGGAAGTTATTATTTTCCTTTATACCAGATGCAAGCCACTGACTCGTTTACTTCTAGGTAATTGTTCACTACAGGAAGTATATAAAATGTTAGTTAATTTACTAAATATTGCCATTGTATCTTCCAAAAGTGCTTCTTGTAATGCATAATTTGTCATTCTTTCTGATCTTGAGTGCTTTGCATGTTTTGTACAGGTTTAACTGCTGATGCTCGCATTCTCATCAACCGAGCAAGGGTCGAATGTCAGAGTCATCGTTTGACTGTTGAAGATCCTGTTACAGTAGAATACATCACACGATTCATTGCACAGCTGAAACAAGTAAGCCTTCTATTTGTTTTCTTTTTTCTTAGTACTACAAAAATTGATGTAGTATTTTATGGAATACTTTGAATATACTGACCAGAATATAGTATAACAGGTTGTAGCTGGAAAATATCTTGCATTCAACTTGACCTATTGAATTTTATGAGAGTCCTCCAAGATTAAGCAAATTACAACACTAAACTCTTTTTTGGAACCTTTGAGCATATCAAGGTTTTTTTTTTTTTTTTTTTTTTTGCAAATTCTAGGTGCTTTGAGCCCATTGGTTGGGAAGAGAAAAAATTTTAATAAAGATAGATGCCATTTAGTTTATTTTTGCTATTCTATCACAAATAGTGAACAAGTAAATATTTCTGTACATTGATGAGAAGTTCAAAAAATGACCAGCTTTCTAATAAGTTACTGGTCCTCCATGTGCTTGCAAAGCAGCTTTTAACCTGATCAGGTATAAACTGTACAAGATCTCCAAAGGATTCTTCCAAGATCTGATGCCAGAATATTAACAGCAGGTCTTTTAATGGCTGCAAGTTACATAATTGGTCAATGCAGTTGAAATCTCTGAGGTATTGTGGCCCAGTCTTTGAAAGTATTCTCATACAAATTGTGTAGTGTGCTAGTTTTTTTTTTTTGTCTGGATGAAGAATGATAAAGTGGAACCGTTCTTCAATAATCATGGGCTATGTAATTAAAATCTCTGAGGTATGTTGGCCCAGTCTCTGAAACTGTTCTCATACAACTTGTGTAGTGTGCTTGTGTTTACTGTCTTTTTGAACAATGAAGAATGATGGAGTGGAACTGTTCTTCAATAATCATGGGCTAAGTGGTATATGACAAGATGCCTGCCACTTAAATCATAGGGCCCAGTGTTTCCCAGCAGAAACTTACTCAACAGTGTCACTTTATTTAGAAGAAAATAAGATTCATCAGACCGGGTAACTTTCATTGATACAAACACCAATTCCAGTGTTCATATAGCCAATGTAGATCCTTTTAGCAATGAACATTGTGCTTATCATGGGTACTCTGATTGGTTTGCAACTATGCAAACCCACTCCTCCCTCCCCAATTGGTTCACCAATCCCTTACTGATAGTTAATTTCTCCCTGGTAATAGGTCTTAATCACAACTGAATATGAGTGCTTCCCAAGCTCTGACAATCTTTCAACCTTTGAGTCATTTAAATCTTGCTGCCAACATATCAAAATAAAGTACTTGAAGTCAGTTTACCTGCTTGTAGCTCTGACCCTCACATATGCAGTTATGAGATTGAAGCTATCATTCTTAGTTTTACTAGTTTTCATGTATTTTGTTAATTGAACAAATATCTTATTTTTCTTATGAGGGTTCAATATTTTAAAATAGTGTTGCTGTACATTAACAGAAATGATTGTTGTGAGATTTTTAAGTTGCACTTTTTGTCTTTTTTTAAATTATATCCCCTCCAAAGTAAAAACAGCCTGCTTGATAAGGAATAAATGGTTTAGGTATGTAGCTTCACTTGTGTTTAACACTTGAAATGATCCTCGTGTCTTTGCCTTTCGATAAGTTCACCCAAGAAAAGAGATAAAACAACAAGCTCTACTTTCTCTTCCAAAGTCTTATTTTACTTGGAAGTAGAAATTATTTAAATATCTTTTTTATGTACAGTTCTTTTCTTCTTTAAGAGCTTTGAAAGATCTTTATAAATTGTGTTTTTTTTTTTTTTTTTTAATTCCTTAAAGGCTGTTATTATAAATGTTAACCTAATTGTATATTTTTGTTTTAATGGTGACAACACAACAATTTTAAGATGGAATAATTTTACTCTTTAATAAAAGTTTCTCTTTTTTTCTTCTAGAAATACACCCAAAGTAATGGTCGCCGGCCATTTGGTTTATCGGCTTTGATTGTAGGTTTTGATTATGATGGCACTCCACGGTTGTATCAGACAGATCCTTCTGGAACTTATCATGAGTGGAAGGTAAATTCTTTTATATAAAATTATGAAAAAAAAACAAAATCTACTGAAAAAATTAAGGCTAATTATTTTTTTTAAATGTCCTGTATAGTTATCTGGATGTATTTGTGTTGGGCATCTTGAAAATGTATAAAAAACTGCTAAAACTTTCAACTAGAATTTTGATGTTTTGTGCATGTATGTGCACATTAGCATCATACCTGTCAAAAATGACTAATATTTACATATGGATTAGTACTTCTGCCTAAAATTAAGATGTCTTGACCTTTTGCCTAGTAAAGTTCAGTGTAGTATCCGTGCGTTCTGAAGAGTTAAACACACACATTGTGTTTTATATGTGTAGATGCTTTTAAAATTGACAATTAGTAGGGGTCATTATTTTGGGGCATAAATTTAATAAATTTAATCTGTGTGTGTGGGGGGGGGGCACCCAGAATTTGTATAAAAGTTAATATCAACATAACCTTTGTGCTATTAATAAAAAGAAACATTTGAGAAAATTGATATGAAAACTCTTTCATTCTGAAAAGTTGTTTACATTGTTTGAAAATGTGATTTAATAATTTGCATGAGAAAATTTTCAGCTGATAAACAATTAAGACAAATTCCATTACTTTTTTTTGGAAAAGATTATTTTGTAAGAGTTTGAGGAAATAATTTTGTATAATCAGTCAACCCACCTCCTTTTATTTAATTTTATGAAATCTTAAAATTGAGTTAACTGAAGTAAAAGTATAAATGTATTTTTCTTATATTGAAACAAAGCAAAACTGCATAACATTCATTTCTTGTGGAAAGTTTTCATTTTTGTGAAAAATAAAGTTTTAAAATGGGATCAAATCTGTTTGCTAAAATAGACCCTGACTTTGTGCCTGTTTATGCAAATATAGCTGTGAAAGTGTTTCTCTGTCCTTGTACAATGTATACAAACTATTTGAAATTTCAATTTTCTTTAACAAACTTAATTTTTGCTGAGAATTTATTTAGGGAAACATTATCAAGTATAAAAATTTGAAAATAGCAGAAATAAAGAAAAATGTTAGTTTTGTTTCTTAGAATCATGGTTTTGACATTTTCCTTGGTACCATTAAAACATTTTACAAAGACAGCATTTAGTGTTTCCCAACATTGGGCTAAATTGCCACATTTTCTTTTATCAAGTGAAATTTTCTTCTCTGCACACAACATCAAACAGGTGATTGAATATCAAGAATGAGGCAGCAGTAAACTAGAAAAGCTACTGCTATGAAGTCTAAAGATTCTGTCTGATATTTCCAGAAGAAATAGGAACTGGAAAGTTTGATTAAATGACTATTAGATAACTATAAATACTTAGGTGAGTGCCAGTGATTGAAAGATTCTAAAAAGCTTCTCTTTCCTGTGGCTTGGCACAATACATAGACATTTGTCCTCTATAATAAAAGACATGTATTACTAGGAGCTATTATTCTGTCTGACAAAGTTTTATTCACCATCAATGATTCTGATAAGTTTGTGATAGATGAAGATGTTCACACTCAAATGTTGGTGTGACATGAAAACAGCTTTTTTCTTCTTTTTTAAATATCTAACCAAGTATCTGTTCTATAAGGAATAGAAACTTCATTTTTGAAAATGGCTACCAGAATGTATAAACATTCTAATTCTGTGCCATTACAAAAAAAAAAAAAAGTCCCTAAGCTAAATATGATGAGAAAAAAACTTTTTTTTAATATTATTTTCTTTGGACATTTCAGAAAATTTATTAAATAGAACTCTTAATTGAAAAATGTACATGAAATCAATCAAAATGGAAGTTGATAGAAAAAGTGTAATTTTCTTTTTATTATATAAAGAAATTATGTAATTAACCCATATGGTACACTTCAGATAAAATTATTCCTTTGGTATGTTTTAGCATACAAATTTGTACATAGAAGTTTGCATTTTTGGATCACCTATACTTCCAGTACAGTCTACTTTAAACATTTTTTTTTTCTACCTTTCATAACTATGCAATTTTCTTGCAATTTTAAACTGTGAGATACTCAAATTATTGCAGTGTTTTAATTTTTTAATGCAAATATGCTAGAGAGGGATGCAAGTAAATCTGTTTAGAAGAATTTATTTTTTTTTTTTTTTTTTTATTAAACATTTTGTACTTATGTTACTTTATAAAAAAAACCCATCTTTAAAATTTTTGGTTTTAGCAAGAAATATTTCCCTATGATAATCTGATGTATTGCTTAATTTTTTTTTTTTTTTAGGCTAATGCAATCGGTCGAAGTGCAAAGACTGTTCGTGAGTATCTAAAAAAAGGCTATACTGAAGAGGTGGCTGAGAAAGATGTGGAATGCATAAAACTGGCTCTTCGTGCCTTGTTAGAAGTGGTCCAATCTGGAGGCAAGAATGTTGAGCTGGCTGTTTTAAGAGACAATACACCCCTTAAGGTCAGTTGAAGATTTAAATATTGTATTACATTGATCAGATTACCAAATCTTCAAAAGTTTAAAATAATTTCTGCGACAATGTTTATGATTATTTGATTTTCTTTTAAAAGCTGAAGTGAAAAGCTAATGCAATAATAAAAGGTTTCAGTAATGACATCCTCACACATTAAAACTAACTAATTGTTTTTATCTTAATTTTTCTTTATTTTTTCTTTATAAATAAAAGAAAGCAACTAACATTCCCCCTCCTCCATTCGAGAAGGGCTACCTTAGTTGCTAAACTAAAAAAAATACTAAAGAATTTATGAAAATGACCGAATGAGTAAATAAATGGATTTGTTTTGAAATAGTTTACATTTCAATAATGGTTTTGATTTTCAGATGATGGAGTCTTCAGAAATAGAAAGATATATTGCTGACATAGAAAAGGAAAAAGAAGAGGAAGCTGAGAAGAAAAAACAGAAGAAATAATTTTGTGCTCTTGTCTTTAGCATCTCTGGTAACATTTCTGTCTATAAAATATATGTAAACACTTACTATTTGTTGCTCTTTTATACCAATAATTTACTTTTTAAAATGCAAGCTAAGCCAATATATGAATTTCCTTCAAACATATGGCCATTAATAAGTTCGAAGATTGGCTAAAACCTTTGTTACTAAGACAAATATTGAGTAAATAAAATAATTTTTAGCCAAACATTATGGGATGCTGAAAAAAGTCTGTAACTACATATTCTCATTCTCTCTCTCTCACACAAAAAACATCTTAAAAAGGGAGGAGGTGGGGGGTATTTTCAATAAATATTAGATTCTTACAAACTGCTAAATGTTTCAATGATTGCAAAAAAAAAAAAAAATCTGCAATGCCTGTTGGATGGAATTAGACTGAATGAATATTTGTCATCTATTCATACAAAACACACACAAAGTATTAATTTGATACAGTAGAGGTTAATGAGATTCCTTTTGAATTTTAGTGAACAAATGAAAATAAATGTTCACTAAGTGGATTTTTTTTCAAATTCAATAAGACAAGACAAAATTAAAAACAGATAACTTATTTATCACAAGATGAAATTAAATCCATAATTAAAATACATCACTGGAAGAGAAGAAGAAAAAGTCTCATGAAAGAAAAAAAAGAAATACTTGTAATTATTAAGAGTAGCATTATTAATATCTTGTGAATGAATTTGCTGAGGTTAGTTGTGTAGACTTTCCTGGAAAAGGAGTTTTGAGCATCTATACAGTTAACAACACGAGAAATGGAAAAAGTAGTAATAATAGTAGTAGTAGTAATAATAGAAGCAGCAGCACAATTTATTTGTAGCTGAGTCAAGTCTTGATTTCTTCCCAAAATTCAATGTCTTTGGATTGAAAAGAAAGACGACGGGAGAAAACCACAAAAGTATCTTTTCAGATTTCTTCCTTGCCTTCATTTAAAAGTTTCTTCTTGCTACCTTTTTATGCGTCTTGCTGTCTATTCTCATTCTTTTCCTACCTTTTTATCAGTTAGCCTGCCTGTGTCCATTGCCTTTTTGTGGTCACACATCTTTCTATTGGCTGGCCCTGAGCAGAGCCAAAACTATCTTGTGCGCTTGACAACATCCCCCCCACTCTGATGCAGCACCCAAGTCACTTTCCCAGAAGACATCAGTCTGCAATGCCAACATGATAAACTCTTCATTGAGATTTGCGTCCAGTTACCTTTCGTTGACGATTTCTACAAGAGAGAGAGAAATGTTGATTATTTTGACACGATGACATTTAAACAACTTGGTAGATAGTATAGCAATGCAACTCAAATGGACAGTGATTTCAAGTAGCAGTAGATTAATATGAATTAAATATTTTGAAGGAGTAAAAATTAGGTTCTGCCTGAAGGTAGAATCAGGAATTCTCAGAAAAAGTGAGAAAGAAAAACAAATGAATGGGATAAATAAATTGGTTTATCTATGTGACCTCAGTACACTTTGGGGATTATTGGGTTACAGCAAAAGTAATAAAATATGCTTTTTGTCAAACACTTGGTTTATCAGATGAATAAAAGTTTGCACAATGAAGCAAACAAATTTATTCAATTAAAAAAAAAAAAAAAAAAATCAATGTGAAAATTACATCATGTCAACCTTTATTTGACACAATCTGAAATAATTCAAGAACTAAAAAAAAAAAAAAAAAAAAATTATGATCATTTGTTAAAAAAATAAGTCTGTAGTAACAACAAATGAAGTTAAGAACTAGGTTTAAGGGTCTAGGTTCAGGATCACCAGACAATTGCCTGATGCTTGGGAAAGAAATTGTGAGTTCAATTTCTTGGCCAGGTAGTACAGACTTGCTGGAAACAGTGTAAGCAGTTACTGAGTGGTACTAAATAAGAACACAATATCCTGCTGTTCATGTCTGGGGATGAGAACAATCTACTCCTTGTAGCAGTTTGAAATTCCATGAAGGTTACCTGGATTAACAGATACCTGAAGAAGCCCAGGGTGCATAACAACCAAAACCAAGATGAAGACATTGGGTCAAATTGAAATGATTATTTGGATATATGCATTACTGTATAATTAATCTGAAAATCCATTATCTTATTTCCCCAGCAAATCCTGGTTCTTAATCTGTTTTAAATAAAAACAATGGAAAATAAAAGAATAAACTCACCTGGCTTCACTCCGAGAAGATTTGTATTCAAACCACATGACATGCGGAATTAAAGTGGAATCTCTCACCATTAGAAATTCTCCTAGAAAACTGGAAAAACAAAACAATAGGGGGCTGAAATGAATAAATCACAAAAAAATATTTCTGTCTACAAAATGAAGATGTTTTCTTTCTGAATAGTGCATCTTGTGACAAAAGGACAAAATATGTCAGCTAAGTTTTCCATTTCTTTTCATTCATATTGTCCTTTAACAGATATACTCTATGTGAAATGTTTACACATATCAAAACAAAATCTCAACCAAATATGAATGCTATTTAAAACAAAAATAATCCCAATGAACTTATAAATATATAGGAAATGCTTTTATTTTTTTTTAATGTAATAGTTTCAAAGTTCTTCAGAGAATTATATTTCTCATGATATATTTTGAAACTGTTTACTGTTAAGGCCTTTCAGGAAATTAGCGATGAGGATTTTTGTGCTAAAGTGTCTTGGGTATTGGCTATAAAAATGAAACGTGATAATTCAAAATCCTTTCTGATTGGATTGTTTCATTTTTCAAATATATTTACAAAATATTAATATTTTTTTTAATCTGTCAAAACATTTGGAAAACTGTAGACCTAATTTTATCCGCCCACCACTGTATTGTTTGGCTCTCCTATTTAAAGAAACCTTTCTAGTTTCATAATCTGCATGTAATATTTATAATCAAAGATAATCTATTAATCGTGTTGACTATTCATCTCCATTCTTTAATTTCAGCAAATACAATATTTGGATTTTTTTCTTCTGTGATAAAGAGTAAGTGAAGTTAAGATGAAAGAAATATTAGTAATAATTAATAATTGACAGCTAATAAATTCAAAATATATTATTTTACTAAGATTGATCACAATGATGGGTTGTAAGTCAGAATGTAAGCATTGTCAGGTCTTATCTCAGTTATTAAATCAGATAAATATTTATTGTATTTTTCCATTAATTAGTTTGGTAAATTGACTTACTGAATGACTGTCAGCTTTAAACCAAAGATAAATCTAAAATAAAAACATCTTTGTAAGATCCAAGCCTTGACAAATGTTTATTCTTCTAGTAAAGCTTTCTTAGAAAACCAGCATGTTAAGTTGAGCCTAAAAGTAAGTATTTAACTTTGTGTACCTGTAAAATCTACAATACCGTCATATCTGAATACTAATCTTACTTATTATAAAACGCAGATTGTGTGTGTGTGTGTGTGTGTGTCTGTAACGTTTATATATTAGATTGGATTGGATTTCCTACATTTTTCAACCGATTTCAACAAAACTTTACAGGACTACATAAAATTACCTTGTGATGGTTCTAACAGCGCCAAAAATGGGAAAAATATAATTGTTTTTGCACAAAATCAATTTGAAAACACGATTAAGAGACATCGTGAAAGTGGAAGGGGGACAACTCACATCTGGTTGTTTGTGTGTGTGTGGGTTCCTTTAAATATGGGAGCGGATTTCCTATATTTTTCAGCCGATAAAAAAAAAACTTTTTTTTTTTTTGGCAGGTAGTGTTTCTTATTCTCTTGCACACTTTTTTTTCTTTATTTTTAACATTCAGAATGCTTTAAAAATTCCATTTACAAGACAATTATTTATAATAAAATTCTATTCAATTGGGAGACTCATAACGATTGAAAACAATGTTTTTGTTTGTGTTTGGGTTTGACCAATTCGTAAAAAAAAAAAAAAAAAAAAAAACTAATTAAGACATGCGTGTCCATCAACCTTAAACAATAATCTAACGATCTCTACTGATTGTACGAATACAAACATCGGATAAATTCTTTATCTTTAGGGAAAGATAATGAAATCTAAACATACACAAGTCCTAACTAAAAAATAATAACCGGAATGGGAAACTACTTTAAATACACATGGTGTCCAATTTTTTTACTGTATTCAATAAGTAAAAATCATAATTGTAAAAAATTATTTATTACAGAAAGGCTACTAAATGAATAAGATTTGTTAGATCATAATTAATAAACCCAAATAAAGTTAATATTTTTTGTATTAGAAACAACGAGTGGAAAATATATTCAAATCAGAATTCTAATTATGAATCACCACAAGCAAAATATGCAATTTTTTTTACTATATTCAATAAGTAAAAATCATAAATTGTAAAACTAAAAGATTACAGAAAGACTACCTACATTTTTCAACCGATTTCAACAAAACTTTTTTTTTTTTTTTTGGCATGTAGTGTTTCTTATTGTCTTGTACATTTTTTTTCTTTATTTTTACATTCAGAATGCTTTAAAAATTCCATTTACAAGACAATTGTTTATAAAATTATTCTATTCAATCGGGAGACTCATAACGATTGAAAACAATGTTTTTGTTCGAGCTTGGGTTTGACCAATTCGTAAAAAAAAAAAAAAACTAATTAAGACATGCGTGTCCGTCAACCTTAAAAAATAATCTTTGTCAATTTTATTTTTCAGTCTTTATGATGGTGGATACTTGATCTATCTTTTACTGTTATATCCCCGGGCAACGCCAGGCTCTACTGCTAGTTCTATCTAAAATGGATGTGGACAAGTGTAGGCCATGCAACATGGAGGTGGAAACATCATTAGCATTTGTGGAATGCTTGTGTAGAAATAATACAAGTGCTGCCATTATAAAGTGGCCTCCCCATCTGCATTGGTGCCTATGTAGGAAGTATAGATTTTAAAAAGCTCAAATGTAAACTACAAGCAAAAAAACAAGGGGGATTGAAATTGACTATTTCAAGATATTGTGGAATTTCAATAGCCAAACAGATTGTATCCTTGAGTCCATCAAACTAGACATCATTGTCATTGAAAAAGAAACAAGAAAATGCCTTTTCATTGATGTGGATGTTCCTGGTGACTGTCAAGATCAAAGAATTTGAAAAGCTTCAGAAGTACACTGACCTCCATTGATCAAGGTTGCCAGAAACTGGGCCACTATTGCCTCAATTATCATTGGGGCATAGAGTTCTCTACTGCTAAGCTTAAAGATCTATATTAAGAAAACCAGAATAAAGCCTAGTAGCTCATCACTTCGGTAGTCTGTATTGCTTGGCACTGCAAATATTCTGTGCTATCTGTTTGAGGTCATATGACATAATGGAGAACACCCATAATGAAAGCTCTTCAGTCAAAAAATGAAAAACCATACCAGAGAAAAGGTAATAATAACAATGACTGGTACAGAATCTGGAGGTGCAGTATATAGCAAAAGCAGGACAATGCAAGCATAATATTTTTCTAACTTGAACATATCTACATAATTGTGATGATTGCCTAAAAATTAATTCTAAAAATACATGTATAATGTAGGTACCTCCACAAAATCGCTAAAAAAAAAAAAAAAAAAAAAAAAAAAAAAAGCTTGATGAAAAAGACGCCAACCTTGCCTAAAACAAAATTTTATTGTCTAAATGCTTATGTTATTATTAAGAAGAAAGACCAAAGTTTTTTTTTTTTTTTTTTTTAATTATTTTTAAAAAATTTTCCCTCTTTTTAGAACATTCTAAATTTTGATTAAAAAAAAACCTTGTTTCTATTTGTATCAGCGGAACTAGTAAATAACAGACAATTTTTAGCACGTTTTTTTTTGGTATGACACATTAATTTGAAAAATTTTGCAAAAATAGAAATAATTATCGGATGTTAATGAAACTTTTCAGGAACTATTCACAGATGATCGAAATTATTATGAATATATTTTTTTTATTAAAGTCATGGTAGAAATATTTTTTTAAAATATTTATTCCCCCCTCCCCCTAACTAATTTTATGAAAACACTAGAAATTCGATCGCATCGGGTTTAGTGATTACAATAATTAAAAGTACAGGGCTTTGAGGAATGCAAATCATTTTTTTTTTTTTTTTTTTAATTGGATCCGCAATACCTGAAAATCAGCTCTGAATTGTAACGTACAAAACTCAATAAAACAAAGATATTATTTAATTTCAAATGCTTTTATTTGCTTTTAGTTGTTTTTATGAGTATGGACAATATTTTCTGAAAGCAAAAAATTTTTTTTTTCGATTTAAAATGAATTTTTAATACAATTATTTGTTATTTCTTTAATTATAATAGATTTTACATTTAAGTTGTTAAAATATTATAAAATTAGTTAAAAGCCGCATCAGCTTTCTTAAGTGTCCTTATGAGATAGATCTTTTTTAGTGCGTTGTAAATTGTATCATTTTGACTAATCAGAAGATCCGCAGTAATTAAGAAATGTAATTTTGTGCTTATAACCAGGCTGTAATTATAAAGTACAGAAGACCAACCAGAATATAATTAAGTTGCGTTATTTGAGTTAAGCATTGTTCTCCGCTGTTAAGGCCTTTACTTTTGTGAAACACGTGTGGAGAAGTTAATTTGATTTTTCAATTTCAACTGAGAAGGGTACCTACAAGTATCAGTATCATCTTATGAAATTTATATGATCTTATTTTTATATTAATCTCAGTTATGACATTTTTCCATAAATGAAATATCAAAATTAATAATAAAATGAATGGAAATACAAATAACACAGTAAAATGTAATAAATGTACATAAAATTATAGTATTTTATGTACACTTCTGATAAAATTTCATAAGAAAGGTACCTATAAATTAATTAGATACCTTTCTTAGGAAATATGAAATTTAATGTCACTCTTAACAGTCTTATTTTAATTTCTTTAGAATATATTTTCCATAAAGCATCATAAACGTAAAGGTGAAAGCTAAGTAAAAAAAAAAAAAAAAAAAATTAGACCGCTGAAAGTTTTTGTTAAAAATAACGAGGTAAATAATTTGTTCACTTAAATGTAAATTATTTCACTTTTCTCCTTCCGTAGAACAAATTAGCCTCATGGAATTCGTAAATATGTCATTCATCACATGTCAAGTGACGCGAAAAGTTTATGACCTGCTTTGTTTTATTTTCAAATTACATCTTTTTGGCACAAAAGCTAAGTTAAGTTTGGTTCAAAATATTTTAAATAAACATTATAATTTCTGATTTTCTTAAAATAAGTTTTAATAAAAAAATGATAATTGATATTTAAAAAATT